CACATGCACGGCATGGAGTGTGAGTGGCAAGCCACCCCGTGCGTGTGTAGGGGCTGCCAGGTGCTCTAAGCAGGCTTGGCGTCCCCTGCACAGTGTATCAATAGAGAAGCTGTCTCTGGCTGGTATTCTCCATTTTAAAATGCATTTCGGAGCTGGCAGGTCTGGCAGAAGAAGGGCTGTCTGGGAGCCCTGGAATGGGGCTGTTGCTCTGGCACCAGGGTACCGGGAAGAGCCTGCCAGCTTTGGGAGCCCGGCGGCTTGGGAGTGACATTAAAATGCCCTTTCAGTGGTGGCCCCGTGCCGTGCTCTGAGCTGAGAGACTCCGACCCTTTAGAGCTCCAAGGCCGGGAGGTGCTGGGCTGCCAGCACCCTGCTCCCCTGACCCTCCTCCTGTCCTTGCCAGCCTCCTTCCCTCTCAGAATAAGAGGAAGCAAAAGGTAGATCCCAGGAGAAGGCTCTGGAACAAGAGGCCCTTGTTTTGCCTTGGAGCCCAGGAAGTGCAGCCCCAGCATACCTGGGTTTTGCTGCCCCACCCACCCCCAGAGCCCCCTTCCCTGGGTGCCACCCAGTCAGCCAGTTCCCCGGGAGAGGCTCTGCATGGTCTCTGGGAGAGAAGTTTCCCTGGTGGTGGGAGGTGGGCCTGGCCAAGGGGGGCTTGTGCACCCCGCTGGGCATTTGCAGGCACGCACGCACACACACTCACACCCACAGAGGTGAGCACAAGCAGAGAGGAGCCAGGCGGGCACTCATTAGCAGCCTGCATCTTATTCCGACAACCCTGGGAAAAGAGGCCCCCTGAGGGCCCTCCTTGCTCCACTGGCCTCCTGGCTTCCCGGCACCCTAAGCCTCCATTCACAGACTACAAGATGCTTTTCCTGCCCCCATCTTTTCAAAGATGTCTGTTCTTGGAAGAAAGTTTTGGTTCAACTTCAACTGGAAGCTTTAACTCAGTGGTGGAAGCGTGTGTCTGTCCGTGTGACCAGTGCTGGGTGCCCGAGCCTCCGCCGGCCCCTGCATCTCACCTGTGTCCTCACCGGCCCCTGCACCTCACCTGCCCTGGTCAGCTCCCCAAGCCCACAGCCCTTTCCTGGGCCAGGAGGGACAATGTTGTTTTCTCCGGGAGGTTCCTCCTTCTGCAGCTGAGCTGTAGGCTCTCTCAAGGGAGTGTGTCCCTGGGCGCACCAGGAGGCGCCACTGGAGGCCTATTATCCCTAATTGTGGTGGGATTTGAGAGCACAGGCTGAACCCACTAACACCCCCCAAGCCGTTCAAGTCTCTGAGAGGGTCAGAGAGTGGCTGGCTCCAGGCCCTCAGCTGGGCGCCCCCAGGGTTGGGCCCGGTGCCTCTCACCCTTAGCAACAACCTCTAAGGCAGGGACTGGAACAGGCAGCGGGTCTGCCTGCAGGGGGCCTCCATCCATCTGAGAGCTATCTGGGGACCTCACACCAAGAATCTTGCTTTCTTGATCCCAAAGTGATTCGACCCTAGGAAGCCGATTGCAGGGAGTCCGGAGCTCAGTGCCACCCAAATCTGTAAATGAACAGAACACCTCTGGGCTTCAGGAGAGGCTGAGCAGGGCGCTAGTGACCCAGCGGCGGGGTCCCTGTCCCCCTCTCCACCCTTGCCCCTCCCACTCAGGTAAACTGCTCCTGCAGCCATGCCCTCACTTGTAGGACTCAAGGTCCCAGGACCGCTCTGTTTTGTTGATCGGCACGGGTTGAAATGGGAACAAGTCAGAAACGTGGGGGCTGCACCTGCGCTTCCTAAGTGCCCGCCGGGGTTGGCAGCCGGCGGGGGGAGGCGCGCACATGGCCCTGCCATCTGTTCTCCCACAGCCTGTTTATGATGCGCCACTCAATCGAATGCCAGCTATTGATCTGTGGCCTATACCGTGCCAGGCTAGTGGCCCAGGTGAACTTTGTCCTCGGACAGAAAGGCATTTTACTGGTCTTCTTCTGTGATTTTCCATGAAAAGCTGGCATCTCACTCTCCTCGAGAAGTGTGCACAGGCTCCCCAGTGGAGTCCAGGTGCAAGGGAGTCGCCCCCCTGCCTGGGAGGCGGGGAAGCATGGGGCCCCCTGAGCTCCAAGCACCTCAGAGCCCCTTCAGACGGAGGCGGAAGCCCTGAGTGTAGTGGCCTGGGCGGGGAGAGTGGCAGGGAGAGAAGCTCTGCAGCCACCACCTTGGATCCCTCGGCCCCCACTCTGACCTCAGTGCCCCCAGACACAGTCTGGGTGACCTTGAGAAAGTCTCTTAACCCCTCAGCCTGAACTTCCACCTTTTTAAGACATGATGGCTCTCAAAGACACCCCCTGCCATGACCCCCAGTCCTGAGTGGGCAGCCTCCCTCGTCCTTGCCTGTTCCCGTCCTCGGACACCAGCTGCTCGGGTTTGACAAAGTCACACTGGCATGGTGACGCTGAGCCCGCTGAGCGAGTCCACCGTCTGGCATCTGGGCCGAGGAGCTTGGTGGGAGGCCCCAGGCTCTACCGTCAGTATCGCCAGTGGGCAGGAGAGCTGTCTGAACCCAGAGCTGGGGATGGGAGTGGAGGAGGGCGCTCCGCTGGGAGCTGGAGAAAGCACTGGGAGGGGTGTGGGAGAGGGGCACGCAGGTGGGTCGCAAGGCTGCATCAGGGTCCAGCGCTGCGCCAGGGGCAGGAAGTAGGGGGCAGTGTGGACCGCAGCACACACAAGGGGGTGCCAGGGAATCTGACTTATTTTAAGAGTGAGGCAGAGCCTGCGTCATCAGCCGTGCTGACCCCAGGCTGGATGACCCAAGGCCCAGCTTCCCCACAGCCCCCGCTGTGCGTGAGCTCAGTGTCCTCAGGCCAGCAGCTACTGTGGCTGTCTTGTGGCTGTCCTGTGCCTTCAGGCCTTGGAGTGATGGTGTGTGCTTGGTCCTTGTCGGATCAGCTCTTTGCCAGTCCAGGCTCCTGAGCCCTGGGGTGCTCCTCGGTCAGCGTGGGTGATGTGGTGTGGGGACAGGGCAGGTGTCCCTGTGGGGCTGGTGTTAACCAGTAACGGGGGTTAATGAGCCCCTCCAAATCCCACCGAGGCCCACCACTTCCAATCTGTCCTCTCATCCTCAGATTCAGCTTGTCCTGTAGTGGAAGACGCTAACTCACGTCCTTGAACAAATGTAATGAGATCCAAACAGCTGGATTTTGTGACCTGCCTGAGCCTGAACTTGGGCCTCTGGCCCTGCTGATGTGTGCAGCTGCCCAGCCCCTGGTCTCCCCCGGCTTGAAGGCCCACGTCTGCCCTGGACCCTGGAGTGACAGTGGGGGTGGCTGTCGGGGGATTCGGGGAGCACTGGGTCTTTTCCTAAACCAGCTAGCTCATGGTACGCGGAGCTCCTTCTGTCTCCGCACCGCCTTGGGGCAGAGCTCCGGACACGCGCACACGCAGCTCAGGTCCCAAGCGCTCCTCGTCTCTGGGTGGCCTGGAAGGCACCGTGACACCAGAGGACACTAAGCTGTAAATCCCCAACACGAAGCAGCTGCTTCATCTCCGAAAGCAATTTGCTTCTCATTCCACCGACTTCAGCATTCCCCAGTAGAAAGAAAAGGTAATTTTCTGCCTTGGGTTGTACTTATTACTAAAGTTATCAGGCCCTGTAATCAGTATTAACATCACCGTGTAAAGTAATACAAAACTAATTACTAGCTAAACTGAATTAGATGCATGACAACTACTGCCAGGCTGTCAGGGAGAGGAGCCAGTTTTTGTCTCTGAAAGATGCACGGTGCATGCTGTCCACACTCTGAAGCCACCAGCCGTAAGGTCACTCCACGGCAGGGCCGCTTCCAACCTGTTCGGTGTCACGAGTGGGGCAAGGGAAGGGGGCAGGGTGTGCAACGGAAAAGGCATTCTCTTCGTTGTTTCCAATTATTACACATGTAAGAAACTTGCCGTCCAGACCTTAAAGCGTTAAGGATAAAACCAATAACGAGGGTTAGTATTTTTTGAGTGTTAACTGCATGTCAAACTCTGTGCCAGGAGCATAGTCTGGATCAGGTCCCACTGTCCCAGGACCCCTGTGTTATTACCCTCCTAGCCCAGGCTTGGGGAGGGTGCGTGGGCTGCCTCGTGGCCCAGCACGTATGTGACAAACGCCCAGTGCAGTCCCAGCCGGACGCCTGAGTTCATGTTCTTGTTAAGATAGAGAAAATTAGAAGCTGAGAGAAGGGTGCAGTGTCCCCCAGAACCTCTAGAAATGGAGGGACCTGGTGCCATCACGCCATTCCGAGACCTTTGCAGAGGTGTGGCTGAGGGCCAAGCCAGCTGGGTCTCGTTGACTGTGCAGCCAAGCGCTCTGCGGGCTGCAGACCTTGAAGTCTGGCTTCGAGAAGGGAGGCGGCAGGGGTCAGGACAGTGACCCCAGACATGTGACCCCTCTGTGAAGGGCATCTGAGAGAAACACTCAGACTCCTCACCTCAGTTTCTTGGAGGTGAGAGGAAGGTGCATGCACAGGCTGAGCCCCAAGAAATAGAGGGGACACAGCCGGGCTGAGCTAATGTGGCCTCTACATCTTGAAACGTCTGCCTCACCATTTGCATTTGGCATAATTCGTACAACACTGGGGAGACTGCCGGTGAGGAGGATGGGCGGCTGTGTGCAGTGACCAGGCCTCTCCCAGGCCCCGAGGCTGGGGACGACCCTTGCCAGCGCTGTCCCCTGTCTCTGTACCCAGGTTGCAGCTCACAACAGCTGCCTGGGTGACAGTGGCTGGTGGCACCTTCTTTGCTGTCACGCAGTTTAGAAAATGTGGGCTTCCTAGTCCGCTCACTCCAATCTTTGGCCTGCACCCTCCGTGTGGTTCGTGACATTTAAAACCTGGTGATCAGTAAGAGTGTGGGCGACAACGACGTGTCCTGGGGGAGGCGGCAGGTGCTGGAGCCCCAGCCTTTGTCCACATCTAGATGTGCAGGTCTGTGGTGCTGATGCTGGAGATGCTGTAGAAAGCGATCCAGTCCCATCCGAGTTCCAGCAAACACACAAGACGCCCTGCGGGAGTGTAAACCTCAAGACAGGGACTTCTCCAGCTTGCCAAATGGCACGCATGGGTGGTTCTGGAAAGAAAGTTACTCCCACATGCCTCAAGTGACGCTTTGGGTGTCTGAGGGTGGAAGAAAGAACAGAGATGTGTTTATAAACATCACGAATAACTTACTCAACCCCCCAGGTGTAGCTAGAAATCTGACAGCGCAGTAGGACTCAAAGAAAGGGAACAGCTACATGTACCCAGTCCTGCCCTCAGAGAGTGAGTCCCTGTGCCCTGCCCCACCGTGCACACGCACCCCCGCCCCAGACAGCAGACCTCCACCTCTTGTCCTTTGGCCGCAGGGGCAGGATCGGTGATGAGCAGCCCTGTGGAGATGCTGTCAGCTGCCTGATGTTGGCTGAGGTTACTGCACGAGCAACTCGACGATTTACGAGGCAGGCGATTGCCCCCAGTGACGGCACTGGCCTTTGGTAGAGGGGGTGACAAGGCTTCCGAGGCTCCATCGGGCTCCGCAGGCAGGGGTCCCAGGCCCTTTGGGATGGCGAGGATGGTGTTGAGGGTGGAGTCTGTGCCCCAGGAGGGCAGCCACGATGGAAGGCGCGTGCGCTGTGGTAGGAGGGGGGCAGAGTCCCGAATCTGCAGCTCCGACGTCCCTAGCTCTGAGCAAGGGCTGCATTCTTGTGTTTCCTGCAGGCCCAGCTGGGCCCCAGAGTTGACTCAGATGTTTTTATGACAACATCACCTTCTAATTCAGGTCCAGATCAATTAATTCATGTCATAATCAATTACTTACTCAACAGAAACCAGACTGTCCTTCCCAACTGGTTATGATGCGTCCACTACCTGGAAAGGAGGGATCGGTAAGGTGTATGGGTTCCCTGAAAGCCACGAGTTCAGTCCAGAGGGGGACGTGCCTGCTGAATCATCTTGTCCATGTTCTCTTCCAAGTGCCACCCCTAGAACCAGACCCACTTCCGGTGGGCAACTAAGAGAACATGGCACTGTGGCCTCCCGGGCTGGTTGGGAGCCAGTCTGGGGCAACATCTGTGGGAGCAGGGTGGAACTCTCCAGGCGGGACGGAGGGCACAGACGCTCTCTGGATGAAGGGCTAGGACTGAGGACGGACGTGGCTCAGTGGGAAGAGCAGCCCCACGTGAGAGCTGGGAAGTGGCTCCTGTCCCTGGGGCATTTGATAGAGGCCACAGGGGGAGCTTGATCTGAGCAGAAGGCACAGGATACGGCCTCAGAGGAATTAGTCTACCAGCTCCGGGATTAGTCAGTTTTCGCTTGAATGTGCTTACAAATGTCAATGCGCATGTGTCAGGACCAGGTCCTTCCCCTTGCTCCTGGAATGTTCTTCCCAGGCAGAGAAAGTGAATGGAAAGGGTGCCCCCAGGGGCAGGGGCAGAGTAGCTCCTGCGGCCCTTCTCTCCCCGTCTTTTCCTCCACTGCCCCTTTCTCTCCCCTCCCTCTCCCTGCCCCTCCACAAGCTGTGTGCGAAGAGCCCACGGAAATTGTGTGTATTTTTAAATAGGAAGACATCCAAACATTGACCCTGGGGATGTCCCTGTGCATGGGGAGCACGGGGCTGGCCAGGCTGCGAGGAAGTCCCCACCGTGGACCTGTTTTCTGTCTGTGGGATGGAGGCACTCAGATGTACGTCCTTGCCCGCCGCACGGTGGCTGTGGGGCTTCGGTATAGGTAAGGCTCCTATGTGTGCCCGCCCCTCATGAGAAGGCAGGACTGGAGGCGAGGGGCGCTTTCACTGACACACACGCTGAGAGTCACACGCATGTCCCAGTCTCTGGGTCTCGGCATCCTTATATTCACGTGTGCTGGTGAACTCGCAGAGCCCACCACGGTCATGGCCAGAATGGGCCAGCGTGAGGACACAGACCTGGCTGGTCCCCCAAATTCAAGTGTTGAAATCCTAACCCCCAAGGGGCTGTTTTAGGAGGCAGGGCTGTTCGGAGGAGCTCTGCCCTGGCAGGATCAGGGCCCAGAGAGCCCCTGCCCTCCACCACGTGGGAACACAGCCATTGGGGCTGCCTGCGGGCCAGGGAGCAGTCGCGACCAAAATGCGCCAGGTAGCGCCTCAGTCTCAGCCTCCAGCCTCCAGTGCTGTGAACAATATGTTTCTCTTTATAAGCCACCAGTTGGTGGCATTTTGCTACAGCAGCCCTGGTGGACTGGAACACCATGACATCTGAAAGGCAGTGGGCCGTGTTTCTGAGCTCGACCCTGAGAGTAGCTGGCTCACCATGTGACCTCGGACAGATCGTACTATCTTTCTAAGCCCCAAGCATCTCATTTGCAAAGTGGAGTGACAGCAGCACTGCCTGTGGGCCCCGGGAAGGGTCTGTGACCGTGGGAGGGTTTGAGGGTGTCTGGGCACAGCGCCTGCTCCATCAGGGTTACGATGGCTGTTTGGAGTTGTGAACACAAATGGGTCCTGGCTTCAAGGGAAGCCGTGTGGAAACTGGGATTTAGACTCCTCCTTAGGAATACCTGGGGTCGGCCCAGGCTGTGAATCCTTTAATCCAAATGACTTCATTCTTCCACAAGCCAGTTTGCTTTTGGAAGCACTGTGTAGGCTTCTAAGTCAAATTACACTTGCTTGGGTTTCTCGAATGACCCTTTCAAATGCACTAAAAGCTGCAGCTCCTCCCTCCAAATCATGGATTCCAGACACAGGAGAGGACTTTGGTTAGGATTAGATGAGCTGGAAGCTGGTCAGAGCAGCAGGGCTGCAGGTGAGGGCAGGGGTGCAGGTAAGGGTGGGGTTGCAGGCAAGGTTCAGATGGGAGCATCAGGGGGGCAGGTGGGAGCAGCCGGGGGGGCAGGTTACAGAAGCTCAGGCGCAGATCAGAGCATTGGGAGTGCAGGTCACAGCAGTTTGGGGGCAGCTTCCAGCTGGGTGGGAAGCAGGGCTGTACCTGCCACACATCCCAGTTCTATTCAGACTCCACCTGGCACAAGGGACATAATAAACCTATTCACTTCTCTATCAACATAGATGAGTAAAGGAAAAGATGCCTGGGATTTAAAAACCATCTGGGTGGGTGGGTGTGAATCAGCTTTTCCTCCCATCACCTCCAAATTCTTTGACTCCCCCCATACCCGCCGCCTCCCACCCTGGGTCAGCTTAGTTCCCAGGGAACTGCAGGAATCCCAAAGCACAGTCCACATTTGGCAGGCCCCGTGTAAGTGACCCCAAGCTGCATTTTTAAAGGACTGCTTCCCAGCCCTGCCTTAAAAGATGCTATAAACCCTTTCTGGCTCCCAGCATGACTGTGAGCTCAGAACATGACAAGTAGTTGCACATCTCCCGAGCAGCCCTAATGGCCTGTCCCCAAGACAGCTGGAGAGCGTACTGGGCCCACCCAGCTGAAGGCAGCTCGTCAGTCTGGGGCCTCTGCCCCCGGCAGCTCTTTGAAGTGGTACTCGGCTCCGTCGTTGCAGACTACCTGGATTCCAGTTTCTCCATTGAGGACTCCAGCCAAGTCAGTTGGCGCTCTTCGCAGTGAGAATACCGGTTGTAAATCCTTATGGAATATTACCGACATAAACTCTAATCAGAAGTCCTTCAGAATCAGGAGAGTTGGGTTTTGTAAGTCTTTGTGTGTCCACAGCTTCACGTTCCTTGAAGGGAGGGAGTTGATTTCATGTCTGGCGATGCCTCGTCACCGTTTGTGCATCTCCATCCACAGCATCTCTTGTGGGTGGACGGTTTCGGCCAAAGGCAGCTCTTAAAAGATGTGGCAGAAGTCCCTGGGGGCGTCAGATCCCAGGTCTGCCATTGGCTTAAGCGTCAGCTGCTCTGAGAGGGTTCCTCGTGAGCATGTGTTGTCTTCTGCAAACCTCACTGGGCACTGAGCCTGCTCCTGGGCATCCATTTAATCCTGACAACAGGAAGGGTACTATTACTATTATTAGCTTTACGAGGGGGAAACCAAGGCACAGAGGGACTAATCACCATGGCCAGGGTCTCACGGCCAGTGGCAGAGCCAAGCCTCCACCCCAGGCCATTGGGCCCCAGAGCCTGCACAGAGCGACTGTTCTGAGATGCCTTGTTCCAGCAATGGCATGTACTGGGTTGGTGGTGAGGAAATTTTTGTTCACACATGTTGCCCGGTTACAGGAAGTGCCTAGCAAGCCACTACCATCACATTGGTGTTGCTTCCGTCCTAGGGTGTGTGACATGCTGCATCCAGTGTCCTGGTTTTGTTTCGGGGTTTCTCTGCAGCACACTGTACCCCACATCTTGCATTTGGTAGGTGACAAATATATGGGTGGCCTGAGACTTCTGTAGATTGGATTCGGCTGGGTCTCACTGGCCTGCAGTGCGGGGCAGGTGTAAGGGATTCAGGCGGAGGCTTGTGACTCTGAACAGTGTCAAACGTCCATAGACTAAGCCGGCGGGGCATTCCTGGTCAGGTGAGCCCGCCTCCGCCCCACGGCCCAGCCCTTCAGGACTCTGTGCAGCCCGACCTCCCCAGTAAGCAGAGCCTGCAGTACCCGCTCACACTGGGAGATGGCGCCCTTGCCCAGCAGTTGGAATCAGCCACATCGCGCCCAGAGGCTGCCACAGATCCCAGCATTAATCAGAAAAAGAATCAGAGGAACCCTTTCAGGTGGTCTCACACCACATCAAGTCAGGACCTTCCTGGCTGGACCTAAGTCCCCTCTGTGTAGGGGACTGAGCAGAGGCAAGTCCTGGGAAGGTGGTGTCCATCCTGGGCGGGTGCCAGGAAGGCTGGTCCCGCCCTCCCAACCTCCAGCTTTCAATCCCCAACCTGGAAAAGGAGATTAATTTTCACCCAGGCAGAAAGGAGCGTAGGGGATTCTCCTTCCCAAAAGGCTTGGAAAGCTTAACGGGAGGCCTGGAGAAAGCGCCTTTTATCTCTGCTTACAAGCCGCCTGCAAGTTCTACAGCCCTATTAAGGGCTTTGACCCAGCCATCCCTCCACTTGCTTGGAGACGGACACGTGCCCTGACGCTGGCGCTGCAGAGGGCTGGGGCTTGTGCCCGCCCACCCTGCCCCCTCTGCCTGGGCCCCAGGGCCTGGGCTCCACCCCTGCCCCCAACCACAGCCCCCAGGGTCTTGCCCAGGGCCCTAGCCACCACCCCCTCGTGGGTGGGACCCCTTTAGCTCTCCCGCTGGGATGGCATGCTTGAGCCCAAGCCTGCACCCCCCCACCGGGAGCCCACACTGGTGGGTGTAGCACCTGACGGGAGACTCCCTCCCTCCCAAAGGCCTCAGAGCACCTGGCTGCCCCGGCCCCCGCGAGGGCCGCTCCGTTCTGCTCATTCACTTTCCCCAGGGCTGGAGACCCCCGGGAGGGTCTGTTTTCGGAGCCGGCCAAGAGTTTGCCCTCCTGGCTGGGTTTCTGGGGCCGCCTGGGCCGGTGGGGAGCCTGGGCCCGCCTGCGAACTACGTGCCCAGCAGCCGGGATGGAGCGAGCCCTCGGGGCGGGGTGGGCTCGGAGGGGTGCCCGGCCTCGCTCGCCCGCCCGGCGGCCTGAGGGTGGGCGGGCAGCGGCCAGGCCGGGCGCCCACTCTTGGGACTTGGGGGGCGGGCGGTGGTCTGCCTGCCCTCCCGGTCACCCCGTCCCCACCCCTCGCGACGGGGGTTTGCAGCCCTCGCTGCCAGCAGCCAGGGGGCGGCGGGGAGCCGGAGCGGGGAGGAAAAATCCACCCGTTGCCTGGGCAGATTGCGTCGGCCGCCGCCCGGCCGTGTCCCCGCCTCCCGGCCGCGGCCCCCGCGCGCAGCCCGCGCGGCGCTCAGAGCCAGAGCCGGGCGGCCCTTCCCGGCGGCGGGCGCGCAGGGCGGCGGCGGCCACTGTCCCCGGCGCGCGGGCGCGGGGCGGCCATGGCCGGGGCGCGCGGGGCGGCGGCGGCGGCGGGCGGGCGGCGGCGGGCCGAGGGGGCGCGGGGACACGGCCGGGCGCCCCTGCCCGCCGCGGTGCCCGCCGCCTGAAGGCTGCCCGGGGCGCGGAGCCGGCGCCGGCGCGGCGCGGGCGCAGGAGGTGATTCGAGACGCGATGTCCGTGCCGCTGCTCAAGATCGGGGTCGTGCTGAGCACCATGGCCATGATCACCAACTGGATGTCCCAGACGCTGCCCTCGCTGGTGGGCCTCAACACCACCAGGCTCTCGGCGGCCAGCGGCGGGACGCTCGACCGCAGCACCGGCGTAAGTGCTCCCGCCGCCCGCCGGGGCGGCCCCCTCCCCGAGCCCGGGCTGGGCGCGCGCCGCTCAGGTGGCGGGGCGCGGAGCTAAGGGCGCCGGCCGGGCCCCCGGGCGGGCTGCCCGAGCCGCGGGGTGAGCCAGCCCCTGCGCCCCCAGGCCCGGCCGCCCCTCCCGCCGCGGGCTCCCCGGGGGTCACGCGTCCTTCGGCGGCCGGGTCCGCGCGGGGCGGGGGGGTGCCTGCTCAGGGACTTGGAAGCCTGGAGTCCTCGTTCAGCCAACAGCAGGCCCCTCCTTGATGAGGTTAGGAAGCTGAGGCAGGGGACTTGAGGACTTGTCCAAGGTCACTCAGCGAGTAAAGGGTGGGGCGCCGCGGAGGACCCCAGGCTGGGCCGGCGCGGCCGGGTCTCTGAACCAAGCCCGCCCTACTTTGTAAAAGCCGGACTGGACCCGGCGCGGACTGGGGCCCGGCGGGCGGGCTGGACAGCGGGCGCCCCCAAGCCCCAAGGCACCTTTCCGTCCCCGTCCCCACTCGAAGGTCCGTCAGGGTCCCAGTGTCAGAGGTGCACATTGGCCCCGGGAGCCGCCGCTGGGGGCTGGCCAACTCCTTCCCAAGCTCGCCCCCAGCCCTTCCGCTCCTTTCGCAAGGCCTTGGGGGAGGGAGGGAGAGAATGGCCAGGGCCGCCTCTGGGCAGGGCTGACCGCTGGGATGGTGGCTGAGCTGCTGGAGCCCAGGCTGAGCGGGAACCACCCCTGAGCAACGGAGAAAGGGGCCCCAGGCGGCTCCCCATGAGCAGCAAGGGGAGGTGAAGGGCAGGGTCTCGCTCTGCGCCCCCTGCTGCCAAGGGCGCAGTTCTCCGGAAGGTCTGCGGCCGCCCCTTCCCAAGGCCCCTCATGTCACCTCACCTGCTGTTCCCAGAATTGCATGCAGTGTTTGCTTCCTGATGGCTTCGTTCCTGCCTCTGGGTCTTCAGCTTCTGGGGTTGGAAATGAATGAAATGAAATGTATCATTACTACAGATCCTCGCCGCCCCCAACTTCTGCCCATCCCCATTCTAAAAATAGCAGGGAGGTGACCGGAGGCGACTGGGCAGACCGCCAGGGAGGATCTGTGCCCAGGGAGTGTTGTGGGGCAGCGGTGTCCACCCTGCGTACCTGGCAGTCAGGACCACCTGAGCAGGCTGAAGGTGACACCAGCCATTCTCAGCCCTGGTTTCTTGGTGGTCTGTGGGCACACCTCAGGACTGAGGTTGGGTGTGACCCTGCACAACGTGACACCAGAAACTTAGTGATATCCACCGAAGCTGGTGGTGGCAAGCAGTGCACAGAGTTGGAAGCCCGGCGTTCTCCCAGGCAGCCTTTGCTGAGGTTCGGGGCCCGAGCAGCTCTGGGTGAACGGGCTGCCGGGTCCGGCTGTTCTTCGGGTGCTCCCCCCCCCTGCATCAGGCCGCAGCAGAGAAGGCTGCACGGGCCGCCCCTGCTCGCCTTCTGGAGAGGAGATCTTATTTCTAACTTACGTGCTCCCTGTGAGTCAGTCAGCCACTGGCTTCCTAGCCTCCCTCCCTCTCCGGCTTTGCCCTCTCGACCCCTCTCTTCTACCCAAAGCATAGATTTGGTCAGATGCCAAAGCTCAAACATCTCTCAAATTTGAATAATCCCCTGAATTTAAAAAAAGTTTAAAGAACAGTGCCTGTTTGCTCCCTCCAGGCGTGGGGATCCCGTGGGGTGACTGTCTCCTTGCTCCTGGGATGCCTCCCCACCCTGGGGTTGGACGTGGCAGTCTTCCCTGGCTGCAGGCCCTGGTGCCCAGCCTTATGGTCTCCCTTTTCTCCCTGCCCTCCTTCACCCACCTGCCCCTCTCCAGGTGTTGCCCACCAACCCTGAGGAGAGCTGGCAGGTGTACAGCTCTGCCCAGGACAGCGAGGGCAGGTGTATCTGCACGGTGGTTGCCCCCCAGCAGACCATGTGTTCCCGGGATGCCCGCACGAAACAGCTGAGGCAGCTGCTGGAGAAGGTGAGCCCGCGTGGGATGCGTGTGTGCCGTGTATGTCCCTCTGTGTGTCCGTCCCGGCTCCAAGGCCTGGCTCTTCCCTGGCTCGTCCACTCGGGATATTTGTGAGTGCTTGAATCAGTGAGTGAATGAAGGCTGAATAGACAGCAACTGCCCACGGGTGGCCAAGGAGGCGATGAATCGACCCTCCTGGTCACTGCAGGCCCCACTGAGGAGCCGCGTGGGTGAAGGGGGTGGGGATGCAGGGCTCCGCTCCCACACCATCCCCTCCCAGTAATGCCCAGTCTCTGGTCCAGAGGCTCAGGGCTGCCGCCACACAGCGCCCAGGGACAGCTGCCGTGGGCCAGTTGGATTTCCCCTGATGGGCTCTCTTTCTGCCTCTTACTGGTTGGACCTGGCCCTCACCACCATGAATGCCTTCCTGGGCAAAAGCCACTTTGTCGTCCCCTCTAAGCCACCTAGGATCAACCCTGTGCAGTCTGTGCACACATTTTGAATCCATTATTCCACTTAATCTTCACAAGATCAAGTGAGATTTCACCCCATTCCACGAAACCTGGGCCAGAGGGTAGCCTGAGTATCTCAGGCCAGACAGCTGTCCAGGAGCCAGTACCCAAGCCCCTGGCTGACTTCCCACCTGCCTGGCGTCCTCGGCCCTGATTGGCGCAGCCCGCTCACCTCCTAGCCCCTCCCACCCCAAGAACCCCAGATTCTCAGACAGCCTGAGTGTCAGGCCCCAAGAGTTACCGACGGAGGGAAGCTGAGTGGGCAACCTTCTCCACCAGCCAGGCCCTGAGGAGGGGCGTTCACACATGGGACCCCACACACCCTGAGAGTGGTGTCACAGTACACCCCCACACACACACACATACATGCCAAATACCTGTATACAACATGTGCACACACACATGTGCATACACACGCCATACATATTCTCACACACAAACACATCACCACACACAAATACACACATAACCAGTGAAGCTGTAGCTTTTCCCCCGTGGAGAAGTGTGAGGGGAGGCCTGCCCGGTGGGTGGGGTGGGTGGGTACCAGGGTGGGTATTGCACAGCTGGAGCCCAGCTCAACCACAGACCTGCACGTAACTGCAGGCAGGGCAGGCCCTGTGTTGGTCTCGGGTTCCTGAACTGTCCGGAGAGGGTGGGGAGGAGCTCTCATAGGGTGCCCCCAGCCCCACCTGTGCAGTGGGCATGGGGAGGGATTCCTTTCCTTGGGCAGAAGAGGAGGGGCATGGAACGGCCTGTGCCCGCTAAGGGACACTGCCATCTTCAGCCACCCAGGCAATCATTTAAAAAGAATTAAAGTAAAATGCATTTTACAGATTCCACAAACATTTATTAACACCAAACTAGACCACCGCGTAATTGGGCCTTTAATTATTCAAGATTGGAGAGAAAGGAGGTGGAGCTTGCCGCCAGGCTTTAGGGACGCTGGGGCGGGTGGGGGTGCTGGAGGACAGGACCCTCCAGCTCTTGGGAGGAGGCGCCAGATGGGGGCCAGGACCCCTGAGAGCCCCTGGGAACGAGGCCTTGGAGCTCTCCCCTGTGCCTAAGTACACCACAGCATCACTGCTTTAAAATTCACAGCCCTGTTTCACACCCTGGCGGGCCCTGCTTACAGAATTCTGTCAGGCCTTTTGCTGCGGAGCAGGTCCTGGAGCTCCCCGCCTTCTGCCTTAGGAAGGGGCAGGCCCCCGCCCTGTGCTCCCCCCCTGCATTGTCTCTGGGACCCGCCCTTTCTTTCCCTCTCCCCCTTCTCCTCGTCCTCCTTCCTTCCCTCGCCTGGGGGAGCAGGACGGGGAGCGCCAACTGACTGCGTCCTCTGTCAGTGCGGCCGGCCCGGGTCCCTCTTGAGAGCATCTCATTCTTCTCTCCCCAGCCTGGCTTCACTTTCAAACCCCCTGAGGAGCTGCCCAAGGTGCAGACATGGGTCCCAAGCCCAGAGTCTGCAGTTTTAAGCTCCGGGTTCCTTGGAAGGGGCCTACAGCCTGCCTGATAGCTCCCCTGATGGTTCTGACCAGCATGAAGGACCGCTGGAGACCCACAGAGAACAAAAGGCCAATGGGGGCCCCAGGCCCTGTTCTCTTTGAAGAAGTGCATGGCCCTGAATTTGAAAGTGTGGGATTTGAAGTCAGTCCAGGCCTTGAATCGTGGCCGACTGCTGTGTGACAGTAGACAAGTTGCTTAACTTCTCTGAGCCTTGGTGTCCTTGTGTGTAAAATGGTCCTCAAAACAACATTACCTCCCAGGGTTTCATAAAGATGGAATGAGATAAATAACACCATGGGTTCTGCACAGTGCCTGGAACATGGAAAATGTTTGTAACTATTGGCAGTCAGTCAGTCCCCTGAGGCCAGGTGTGCCTGCCCCAGGGCGCTGCCACCCCGCCCCCGACGTTCCAGCTGCTAATGCATGGGGCAGGCTGTGCCACTGAGCTGTGTGACCTTGAGTTCTCCGTGTCTCAGGGACACATTCCACAGGTCAGAGAACAGACGTTTCAGAGAAGTGGGCTTACAGACCTGCCCGTCTTGAGGGTCCCGGGGGTCCCGAGGGTCTCGAGGGTGGGGACATTCAGGAGAGTGACTGTGGCTTTAGGCTCAGCCTCTGCTTTATGACTGGCCAGAGGAGGGACTCCTCCGGGCGGGGAGAACCACAGGATGTGTATTTTGTTTTAAAGCAACTGAGTAGCTTGGCATCTTCAAATGTTGTTTACTAAATTCATTCTTATTTAAAATCTGTTAAAAGCATTCCCTCTCTGGCAAATGGAAAGCCCATTGTGGCGTGCATGGCACCCTGTTAGAAGGAGGAGACCCAAGCCAGCGTGGCCTGGGCAGCTTCTGCTTAGCAGGTTAGCCCTTCATGTCAGGAATCATATCCTTTCAGGAGGGAGGGCAGAGAGGTTCTGACTGCAGCTGCCCTGAGTGTTCCTTCTAGCCCTCGGGCTGCAGGGCATCCCTGTCCAGGAGGGGCTGGGCCTTGTGCTGGGGTCGCAGGTGTGAATGAGGCCCAGTCCCCCTTGCTCCCCTGAGTTTGCTATCCAACAAGGTGGTTGAGCGGGTGCATGGGTTACTGCCGTCAGCCATGTGCAACAAGGTGACAGTCATGTCCACTTCTGGTTTAGCTCATCATGGAAGCCTTCCCGGAGGAGGTAGCATTTTGGCTGGGCGTTAAAGGATGAGGGACACCAAACATTTCAACTTTTCTCAAAAAAAGTGCTGCAGTTATTTAAAGGGACAGAATGAGACAGCCGAGGGAGAACAGGGAGATGTAAGGTAATCGAGCAAGTGCATTTCAGTTTCCCATAAAACATCTAAAGAGAAAGGATCAGAGGGAGTCAGAGGCGCCCACATACTGTATTGTACAAACCTGTGTTTTTAAACTGAATTTGTGTGCGTTACTTTCAAATAATAAGCCCTAAAATCCCCGGCATTTTTAGGTGCTAAGATGAGTAATAGAAGCCTTAGGTTGCTCTCTGTTATTTACCGTAAGCAGTGGAAACCACACTAGCGTCTCCTTTTCACTGACCAGGCAAAGCTAAGCCTCAGACTCTAATGACTTTGTTCTTAAAAGGGAAAGCATTTTCAAATTCAGCAAAAGAACAGAAGTGAAGATTTGCAGTTACAGAGGTATCCTCGTCCCTAGATCCTGAGAAAATGCCCCAAACCCCACTGCGGCAATCCTGAGCTTCACTCCATCTCCCCACCGCCCAAGTGCATTCGCACAGGAACGCAAGCCAGTTTCCTGAAAATAAAATGCACTGGCAGGTGGCTGCACTAAAGCTGTTTTTCTTTTAAGCTCTCTGGAATCCTGTTGAATATTAAAGTTACGTCTTGAGGCTAGACTCAATTCAGATCTGCCTGGAAAGATGTAAAACAGCGATTCCTCATTTGCTGGGTGATTGATTCCTGACTCTACGTTCTGAATGTGCATGTTTGTCGAGTAGCCACCTCCCTATGACACTGTGGGATGTGATGGATGGTGTACGAGATGGGGGGACACGGGTGATGCAAAATCAGGGAAAGTAGCTGCCTGTTCTTCCTTCTCCGCTTATGCAACCATCGCAGCAAGACACCCAGTGAGATTTAGGAGCAAAGATCACCCATACTTGGTGTGGGGAACCCCGTGGTGCTGTTCATCTTTGTTGGTGTTCATGTCTACCTAACCCATCTCATCCTGCAGAATAGAGGCTAGAAACAATCCCCCGCACCAAAGAAACAGAAAAAATTCTCCCAAAACCATATACCTGGCACTGTGACCCATGAGGAACCGGGGGGCTCTTGTACCCGGATTTGCATCTCTGGGCATGAGAGAACTCCTGGAAGATGGCAGGGGAAATGCTTAGCAAAGCAGTGAGCCCTGGGGCATTCCTGGTCAGAACCATCCCCGATGCTGGTGATAATCAGTAAATATTGTGCGGGCCGCTTCTGGTTCCCCATGTGTTGGACGCGGGGAAAAGGTCGCTGTCGTGCGTCAGGAGGCAAATCACATCACCCAGCACCTGCCGCAGCTGCTGCTTGAACCTGTTGCCTTCTTGACAGGTGCAAAACATGTCTCAGTCCATAGAGGTCCTGGACAGGCGGACTCAGAGAGACCTGCAGTACGTGGAGAAGATGGAGAACCAAATGAAAGGCCTGGAGTCCAAGTTCAAGCAGGTGGAGGAGAGTCATAAGCAACACCTGGCCAGGCAGTTCAAGGTACATTTGCTCCTCTCCTTCTCCAAGACCCGGCTTGTTTTCCCTTCATGCCTCCCCGCCCCCCACCCTTTACCTTTAGAAATAGCGATCTGGGACGGGGAGGAGCCCAACCAGGAC